GTGCTGTGGGAGCTGGGGGTGCTCCTGAAGCTGGAGCTGAAGGCGCTGGAGCTACTGGTGCTGGTGTCGCTGCCGACCCTGGGGTTGGCGCTGGAGGTGCTGCTGGAGCCGCTGGAGGTGCTGGGTCTAGTGGTACTGCAAGGGCTGGAGCGAGAGGCGCTGCCGCTCGTCCTACTGGAGGTGCTGGAGCTGACGGTGCTGCTGGTGCGGGTGCTCCTGGGGGTACTGGAGTTGGCGCTACTGGAGCTGCTAGAGGTGCTGCGGGAGTTGGGGCCGCCGCTGGGGGTGCTGGTGCTGTCTCTGCTGGTTCTGGGGGCGCTGCGCGGCCGCAGCCGTACTTCGTTCCGCTCCTTCAGCAGGTTCTTGGTCTCCCGCCTTCTACTGGTCCTGCCCCTTCCTTAGAGTGTCCACCGCCTGTCCAGCCACAGTCACTGTTACAGCCTGCGTCCTCGTTGCCTGCTCCTTCTCCTTACACTGGTCCGACCGGAGGTCTTACTGAGCGTCGTGAGCCTGAGTCACGTCCTGCGTCGCCTGTTCGTGCTGCTCGCACTGGTCGTCGTGTTCCGCGTCAGCGTCCTCCTGCTGTCCCAGGCACGCACCGGATGGCGCTTCGTCCTTCCACTGCTCCACAGCGTGTCCCTCTGCTGTCTCTTCCTGCGTCCTCTCTTCCTGCACTTGCTGACCCGGAGTCTGACTCCCTTTGTACTGCCAGTCCTATTGTCACGCGTCTCCTGGCCACTGTTGTCACCGACCCTTCCTTTGAGTCCACTGCTGCATCTGCCTTAGTTGCTGAGCTTGTCGACTTTGCTACTCACTGTCGTCTAGACTACGCCGCGAGTCTTGTTGCTGAGTCTGAGTCTGTCTGTCCTCCGTCCGTCGGGGGTGAGTGTGGTGCTCTTTGCACGGACGTCCTTGAGGACAGGCAGGAGGACTTTGAGTGCTTTGGAGCCGCTGTACCTCATCTCGTGTCCATGCTGATTGCACCTAAGGGAGACCCGGATGCACCAGACATCCCGACCCCACGCTCTTACGCAGAGGTGATAGAGGGTCCATACTCCTCTCAGTGGCAGTCAGCCATGGACGCAGAGATGGCATCCTGGAAGTCCACAAGCACCTACGTTGACGAGGTTCCCCCTCCTGGGGCGAACATCGTCAGTGGCATGTGGATTTTCAGGGTAAAGCGGCCGCCGGGTTCTCCGCCTGTCTTCAAGGCGCGCTACGTGTCTCGAGGCTTCAGTCAGCGACAGGGAGTTGACTTCTTCTTGACTTTCTCCCCGACCCCGAAGATGACCACTCTTCTGGTTCTGCTGCACGTCGTTGCTCAGCGTGACTACGAGCATCACTCTCTTGACTTCAGCACTGCTTTCCTACAGGGCAGCCTGCACGAGGAGATCTGGCTGCGCCGCCCACCTGGCTTCACTGGGTCGTTTCCTCCTGGTACCCAGTGGAGCCTCCGGCGGCCAGTCTACGGTCTCCGCCAGGCGCCCCGTGAGTGGCACGACACACTGAGGACTACGCTTGCGGCTCTTGTCAGAATGTTATTATCTAGCCTGTAGTGGGGTGCTCTATAGCGAGTACAGCCCTGTTAGGGTTTGCTATATGTATCCCAACTGCTGCTAGTGAAACCCCTCCTCCTTTCTTCATTCTCACTTTCTACTGCTGATTCTGACAGCTCTTGGGTTTGCTCCTTCTACTGCTGACCCGTCGCTGTTTCTCCGCACCAACACTTGGTCTTTGCCACTGCTGACACTGAGGGACTCGCCCACGTGAAGTCGGAGCTGCAAAAGAGACACACGTGCACAGACCTGGGTGAACTGCGCAGCTATCTTGGCTTGCAGATCACCCGAAATAGAGCACAGTGCACCATTACCTTGACTCAGTCTCACATGGTGCTGCAGGTCCTTCAGCGCTTCAAGTTAATGTACTCCTCGCCTCAGGCCACTCCTCTTTCTACTAGCCACTCGCTCTCAGCTCTGCCTTCGGATGAGTCCGTAGAGCCGAGTGGCCCGTACCCAGAGCTTGTTGGCTGCCTCATGTACCTGATGACCTGCACTTGACCTGACTTGGCATACCCTCTTAGCATCTTGGCACGCTATGTTGCTCCTGGGAGACACCGACCAGAGCACATGGCTGCAGCGAAGAGGGTGTTGCGCTACATGTGCAGTACGTCGGGCATGGGGCTAGTGCTTGGAGGACGGGCTCGAGTTGTTCTCACTGGTCACGCAGACGCTTCTTGGGTTGACGACTTGGCTACGCAGCGGTCGTCACAGGGTTACACCTTCAGCCTTGGTTCCGGTTCTGTTTCGTGGCGGTCTACCCGCTCGTCTTCTGTTCTCAGCTCCAGCTGTGAGGCAGAGATCTACGCAGGGGCCATGGCTGCACAGGAGTTACGCTGGCTCACCTACCTGCTGACCGACTTGGGAGAGGTGCCTCGTTCTCCTCCAGTTCTGTACGTCGACAACAAGGCCATGCTGGCCTTGTGTCAGGAGCACAGACTGGAGCACAGAACGAAGCACATTGCCCTTCGCTACTTTCTTGCTCTAGAGCTGCAGCAGCGCGGTCAGCTTCATCTTGCTTATGTGGCCTCTCGGGCCAACACTGCTGATATCTTCACCAAGGCACTTCCGCCTTGTGATCATCAGCGTTTCTGTACTGTTCTAGGCCTTGTGCCTACCTTGCCTCACCTGCTCACTTCTTGACTTTGCTTGTACTGTGATCTATATATCTATACCTGCATGCTTTCACTTGCTAGGTTTTGATCACTGTCCTGTTTGTTCTGTGCTATATAACTGTGCTTGTGAACTGGCCTTATGGCCGTCTGCTTGCGCTCAGAATGTGTGGTGACGTTGTGATCCACCTTGAGCTTGCTTTGCTTCTCTTGACTGGTCTTGTGACCCTCTCTTTGCTCTCCCCCACTTTGCCTATGGGGGTGTGTCAAACTTATACTCTACAGTTTGTTTAGGCTGTAGTGGGGTAGTTACTATGGGGTACAGTAAGTTTAGGGTTTTCTACTTGTACCCACCACTTTCCTAGTGCAAACACTTCTTCTTTCTGACATGACTGCCTCTAGCTTTGCTTATATTTGGGAACTATTGCTCTGCCTGCTTATTGTGCTGATTACACCCCACTTTGGCTATGGGGCAGGGCTCCATATTGGTTTTGGGCCACCCTTAGTAATCAGGGTTCTAGGTATAGTCAACCCTGATGCGTGGGGTAACTTTTCTGTTTGCCTAACAAATGCAGGGTAAAAAAAATGTTAGTCTATTTGGCCAGGGTGTTTTTCAAAAAACGCTATACATAATGCCAAAATAGTGCAGTTTAGCAGTTAGTGGCTGAGTTGATTCGATTGCGAATTATATCTGAAGGTCATAGGTTCGAGTCTCGCTGTTGGGTGCAGTATTTTGCAGGGGCCCGAATGGTCGTTCGTCTCGCTACAGAGCATTTGGTATCATTCTATCTGGGATTGTACAGTGTTACAGTCAGGGAAATATGTTCCTTACGCTGTTTTTCAAAGGGTACAAAAAAACTTACACTTTCTGGCCTAGGGTAAAAAATCCAGTACCCTGCCTATGAAAGGGTAACTGAAAAAAAGCGGCCGCCAGTCAGTGCAAAAAGGGTATTTTACCCTGATAACAAGAGGCCTGCTATGGGGGTGTGTCAGAATGTTATATTTGTTTAGCCTACAGTGGGGTACTCAAGAGTGAGTACAGCCCAATTTAGGGTTTGCTATATGTACTCAACTGCTTGCTAGTGAAAACCCTCTTCTCTGTTTCATTCATTTGGTCAGTATTCTAACCATTATCTCAACAATTATAAGCACATGCAAAATTTTATTTTTCAATGCTGATTAAAACGGTAACGAATTTAAAATTTCTAGCGAGTCAACACCCCTATTTTCACTTTGTTTAACTTTCGAGGACCTACTGGTTGCGCATCCAGTTTGAGTTGGCACGCGGGCAAAATGACGTGCCAAAGCTCTGTGCACCGTCAAAAAATCGCCCTCGCGAGCAGGGCCTCAGATTGGTTTTTGGGTACCCTAGTGTCTCTAGGAGGGTAACACTGATTTTCAGTGTCGTCTAATGTGAAACACTGATTTTACAGGGTTGTTAGAAATAAAACGCTGATCAATCAGGGTTTCTAAAACTTCAACACTGATCAGCATAGTTGCTTATACTGGTATGTTGTCATAACACAGCGAATCAGACTGCCCTTACTTTACAATTCCCAAATTCGGCCAGAATTTTGCTATTTCCGCGTCTGATTGGTCAGAAATCTTGTCTGACCAATCGAATAGGACAATTGTTAACAATTGTTTTTTATCTCTGGTTATGTACTTGACTGATGATTCGGACTTGGTGTCAAACTTATATGCTATAGTCTTTCTAGGCTGTAGTGGGATAGACAATATGGGGTACAGCTTTCTAGGGTTTCATATTTGTACCCAACTCATTTTCTAGTTCATCATTCATTCCTCATTTCTTCACATGGTATAGAGCAGGTTCCCTAGTGGGAACTGTTCCTAGGGCCCACCACTGAAAATCGATTAAATTTTATTTTTCTGCACGGAGAGCGAGTCGCTCCTGACCGAGGCGCGCTCTGTGTGCCGTCCTCCCCTTAGCGGCCCGTCGCGCCCTCTCACGGCCCCTCTCGCGGCCCCGTCGCCGCCCTTAGCGGCCCCTCGCGGCCCCACCCTACACGGCCCCGTCGCCGCCCTCTTGCGGCCCCGTCGCCGCCCTCTAGCGGCCCCGTCGCCGCCCTCACCGGCCCCGTCGCCGTCCTCAGCGGCCCCGTCGCCGCCCTCTAGCGGCCCCTTCGCCGCCCTCAGCGGCCCCGTCGCCGCCCTTGCGGCCCCGCCGCCGCTCTTGCGGCCCCGTCGCCGCCCTCTCGCGGCCCCGTCGACGCCCTTGCGGCCCCACCGCCGCCCTCTCGCGGCCCCGCCGCCGCCCTTGCGGCCCCGTCGCCGCCCTCGCGGCCCCGTCGCCGCCCTCTCAACGGCCCCATCACCGCCCTTGCGGCCCCGCCGCCGCTCTTGCGGCCCCGTCGCCGCCCTCAGCGGCCCCGTCGCCGCCCTCAGCAGCCCCTTCACCGCCCGCAGCGGCCCCGTAGCCGCCCTCTCGCGGCCCCGTCGCTGCCCTCTTACGGCCCCGTCGCCGCCCTCTCGCGGCCCCGTCGCCGCTCTCTTGCGGCCCCGTCGCCGCCCTCTCGCGGCCCTCCTGCCGCCCTCTTGCGGCCGCTGCTGAGCCGCCGACCCGCCGAGCCGTCGCCGCTGCTGTCGAGCCGCCGCCGCCGTCGAGCCGCCGCCGTCGAGACGCCGCCGCCGAGCCGCCTTCGAGCCGCCGCCGCCGCCGTCGAGCCGCCGCTGCCGCCGAGGCGCTGCTGCCGCTGTCGAGCCGCTGACGCCGCAGTTCCGGCCCTGTTCCTGCCGGCGCGCCCCGGCCCTACCCACCCGGACTGGTGAGAGCACTCCCGAGCAGCGCCTTTGCCACTGCACTGCCCCTAGCCTACTGCTCTCACTGCTAGACTGCTGCTGTCATGGCTACCCCCAGTGTCCTTACCTTTGATGCTGAGGGTCGGGCTGCTGACTTTGAGGTCTGGGTCGATGACCTGCAGCTTTTCCTACAGTGCGATAGGACAGACGGACTCTCCCTGTTCGATCTCACCTCTGGTGCCTCTCCTGCCCCTCCTGCTACTGCTGACAGCACTGTTCGCTCACAGTGGGCCACACGCGATGCTGCTGCCCGTCTTGCTGTGCGTCGCCACTTACCGACCACTGAGCGTGCGCATTTTAGTCAGTACAAGAGTGCTAAGACCTTGTACGACGCTGTAGTTGCACGCTACTCTTCCCCTGCCACTGCTGCCCTTAGCCGCCTCATGCTGCCGTACCTGTTCCCTGACCTCGCCGCCTTTCCCACAGTTGCTGACCTCATTACGCACCTTCGCACTAGTGACACCCGCTACCGCGCTGCGCTTCCTGCTGAGTTCTGCGCCAAGAACCCCCCCCCCCATGTACATCACCCTCTACTACATAGTCACCCGGCTCCCTGACTCCCTTCGCTCGGTCAGGGACCACTTCCTCTCTGTTTGCCCCACCACACTCACCGTTGACCTCCTCGAGGAGCGCCTCCTGGCAGCAGAGAACAGTATCGTCGCTGTAGGAGCCTCTCGTGGTGACCCTCGTACCCCCTTCTTTGAGGGGTGCTCCCCCTCCCCCCTCTTGCCCTCTGTTGCCTCTGCTGCTGCGGCCGACCTCGTTGGCCTCGAGTCGGTCGGAGCTGCGTCTGCCCCTAGCGGGAGACGCCGCACCGGCAAGGGCAAGGGGGGCAAGGGTGCTGGAGGAGCTGGCGGGGGCGGTGGAGGTGGAGGTGGAGGCGGTGGAGGGGGTGGGGGTGGTGGTGGGGGTGGTGGCGGGGGTGGAGTCGTCGGTGGCAGCAGTGGGGGCGGAGGAGGCGGCGGCGGTGGCGGTGGGAGCGGAGGTGGCGGAGGCGGCGGAGGTGGCGGCGGCAGCGGTGGAGCTGGTCGCGGCTTTGCGCAGAGGGGTGGCTCCGGTGGTGGTCCGTGCCAGCAGCAGCAGCGCACTCGTGAGACCCCGTCCCCTTAGCAGCTTCGTGAGTGGTACGCTGGGCGTCAGCGGGGTAGGGGTGCTGGTCCCTGTACCTACGTCCTTCGTACCGGTGACCGCGCTGGTGAGCAGTGCGAGGGGCCGCACTCCACCCAGCGCTGCTTCGGCCGCCTGACGGACGCTTGGCGTCACCAGTTCCCTGATGCCACGGAGATCCCTCGCTGGGGCGATCTGTCTAGGGCGGGGGTTGCTATCTTTGATCTTGACTATGATGCTATTCTTGCTGCCACGTATGCTGTGTCTACTAGTGATGAGGGTGACTGTTACCTGTGTGTTCCGCCTGACCCGGGCATTGGTGAGGCTGCTGCTCTAGGTGCTGGTGAGGCTGCTGCTCTAGGTGCTAGTGGGTCTGCTGCCCCAGGTGCTGGTGACTCTGCTCTCTCAGGTACCACGTCGGCTCAGGCCTCCCACACCTTCACCCTTGACTCGGGTGCTTCCCGCTCCTTCTTTCGAGACCGCACCACACTCACGCCGCTTAGTCGGCCAGTTGCGGTCTCCCTGGCAGACCCCTCTGGGGGTCCTGTCCTCACTGTCTTACCGTGTCCGGCGGCCCCTTCTGGCACCCTGTCCGGTCTTTACCTCCCCTCGTTCTCTACGAACTTGTTGAGTGGTGCTGATCTACAGGATGGGGGGGTTCACCAGTTCACTCCTGCGAGTCAGTGAGTGACCCACTGCACGTGTGCTCGGACGGGCCGACACTTGGCCACGTCTACCCGTCGGCCGGGGTCGAGCCTGTACACACTGACTACTGGGTCTCCTCCGGTTGCTGCGTCTGGTCAGGTAGCTGCGTCGGGTCAGGTGTCTGCTGCGGCGTCCAGGTCTGGTCCTGAGTCTGCCCCCTGCTCGTGTCGTCTCCTGTCTCACCAGACTCTCCTCTGGCACCACCGCCTTGGTCACCCCTCCCTGCCTCGTCTTCGAGGCATGGCCTCCCGTGTCCTTGTCTCTGGTCTCCCCCGGTCCCTCCCTCCTCTTCCTCCAGGGCCTGCCCCTACCTGCGTTCCCTGCGTCGAGGGGCGGCAGCGCGCTGCTCCTCACTCCTCGGAGTTTCCTCCGACAGAGGCTCCGCTGCAGACACTTCACATGGACGTGTGGGGCCCAGCCCGCGTCCGTGGACAGGGTCACGAGCGTTACTTCCTGCTGGTGGTTGACGACTACTCGCGTTACACCACAGTCTTCCCCTTGCGCAGCAAGGGTGAGGTCACTGGGGTGTTGATCGACTGGATCCGCGCTGCTCGTCTCCAGCTCAGAGAGAGTTTCGGCTCGGACTTTCCTGTTCTGCGTCTGCACTCCGACAGAGGCGGAGAGTTCTCCTCTGACCTTCTGCGAGCTTTCTGTCGTGCACGAGGCATCCGTCAGACGTTCACGCTTCCGGCCTCTCCGCAGCAAAATGGGATTGCTGAGCGCCGCATTGGCATGGTCATGGACGTTGCCCGTACGTCCATGATCCATGCGGCTACCCCCCATTTTCTGTGGCCGTTCGCGGTTCAGTACGCGGCGCATCAGATCAACCTTCAGCCCCGGGTCTCCATGCCGGAGACCTCCCCTGCTCTGCGGTGGACCGGGAAGGTTGGCGATGCATCCGCGTTCCGTGTCTGGGGATCTCGGGCGTTTGTCCGCGACTTGTCTGCGGACAAGCTGTCCCCGCGTGCTGTTCCCTGCGTCTTCCTTGGCTTCCCCCCTGACGCGCCAGGTTGGCAGTTTTACCACCCCACCTCGCGCCGTGTTCTGTCCTCTCAGGACGTCACATTTGACGAGTCGGTTCCCTACTACCGTCTCTTCCCCTACCGCACTGCGTCCCTCCCCCCGCCGCCGCTCTTCCTCATGCCAGGTCCCCCCCGGTAGACCCCCTCCTCCCTCAGGGTACTGCCCCCTCAGGTGTGTCCCAGGTAGACGCAGTCGATCCTGTTGAGGTAGCTGTTGACTCTGGTGCTGCTAGGGGTGCTGAGCCTGCGGGTGCAGGGTCTGGGGGTGCTGAGCCTGGGGGTGCTGACTCTGGGGGTGCTGAGACTGGGGGTGCTGAGTCTGGGGGTGCTGAGCCTGGGGTTGCAGAGACTGGGGGTGCGGAGCCTGGGGGTGCTGAGCCTGCTCGTGTGGCGTCTGGAGGGACTGGGCCTGGAGGTCCTTCGGGTGCTTCGTCCCGGCGAGAGCCCCTCTCTCCACAGGAGCTGCGCGAGTGGTTTGCTCGGCGCTGGAGCCGTGCTGCTGGAGCTGGAGGTGCTGCCGGTGTTGGAGGTTCTACTGCTGCTGAGGGTGCTGGTGCCGCGGGTCCCAGAGGTGCTCGTCCTGAGGGTCCTGGAGCTGCTGAGTCTGCGGGTGCTCCTGGTGCTGGAGCTGGTGGTGCTGCTGGCGTCGGTGCTGCTGGTGGTGCTGGAGCTGGAGCTGCTGCGTCTTCAGGTGGTCCTAGTGGAGCTGGAGCTGCTGGGGGTGTTGGCGCTGGAGGTGCTACTGGCGCTGGTGCTTCTGAGTGTGCTGGAGGTGCTGGAGTTGGCGCTGCTGGAGCTGGGGGTGCTACGGGTGCTGGTGCTCTTCCTGCTGGTTCTAGTGGCGCTGCGCGGCCGCGGCCGTACTTTGATCCGCTCCTTGAGCAGGTTCTTGGTCTTCCGCCCTCTACTAGTCCTGCTCCTCTCTTAGAGTGTCCGCCGCCTATCCAGTCTGAGTCACAGTTACAGCCAGCCTCCCCACTGCCTGGTCCTTCTCCCTACACTGGTCCTACTGGAGGTCTTGCTGAACGTCGTGAGCCTGCGTCTCGTCCTGTGTCGCCTGTCCGTGCTGCTCGCACTAGTGGTCGTGGTTCGCGTCAGCGTCCTCCCCCTGTCCCCGGCACGCACTGGATGTCTCTACGTCCTTCCACTACTCCGCTGTGTGCCCCTTTGCCTTCTCCTCCTGAGTCTTCTCTTCCTGCTCTTGCTGACCCAGAGTCGGACTCCCTTCGTGCTGCCAGTCCTACTGTCACGCGTCTCCCTGCTACTCTCGTCACTGACCCTTCCTTTGAGTCCACTGCTGCGTCGGCCTTAGTTGCTGAGCTTGTCGACTTCGCTGCTCGCTGTCGTCTAGACTACGCTGCTAGTCTTGTCGCTGAGTCTGAGTCTGTCTGTCCTCCGTCCGTCGGGGGTGAGTGTGCCCGTGGCACGGACGTCCTTGAGGACAAGCAGGAGGAGTTCCAGTGCTTTGCTGCTGCTTCACCTCATCTCGTGTCCATGCTGCTGGCCCCTGAGGGAGACCCGGATGCACTAGACATCCCGACTCCGCGCTCTTACGCGGAGGCGATAGAGGGTCCCTACTCCTCTCAGTGGCAGGCAGCCATGGACGCAGAGATGGCTTCCTGGAAGTCCACAGGCACCTACGTCGACGAGGTTCCCCCATCTGGGGCGAACATCGTCAGTGGCATGTGGATTTTCAGGGTGAAGCGGCCCCCGGGTTCTCCGCCTGTCTTCAAGGCGCGTTACGTGGCTCGAGGCTTCAGTCAGCGGCAGGGAGTTGACTACTTTCAGACCTTCTCTCCCACCCCGAAGATGACCACTCTTCGGGTACTACTGCACATAGCCGCTCAGCGCGACTACGAGCTTCACTCTCTTGACTTCAGCACTGCTTTCCTACAGGGTAGCCTGCACGAGGAGATCTGGCTGCGCCGCCCACCTGGCGTCGCTGGGTCTTTTCCTCCTAGCACCCAGTGGAGCCTCCTGCGGCCAGTCTACTGTCTCCGCCAGGCACCTCGTGAGTGGCACGACACACTGAGGACTACACTTGCGGCTCTTGGGTTTGCTCCTTCTACTGCCGACCCGTCGCTGTTTCTGCGCACCGACACCTCTTTGCCGCCGTTCTACATCCTCATGTGTTGGTGCAACCCTACGGTTTGCACTCGGCTTGTTGTCCGTGTGCGTGAATGTGTGTGTGTATGGAATGGTATGAGGGCATGGGATAATATATATTTCATGCTTATAATTGTGTGTGAATGTTGAGTCATGATGTCGAGTGTGTGTGTCGAGTCAATAGCGAGTTATCGCTAGACGCGTGTTACGCGGTCGTTTGTGTCTCGCGCGCGGTTTCTATTTTGTCGTGCGCGGTTTCTATTTTGTCCTGTGTCGAACGTTCGGCGTGTCGCAGGTGTGTGCAGCAGACCCATCAAGAACACAAGGATGAGCTTGTGATGAAGAGCCCGAGCCTTGGTGTCAAGCCTCAAGTGATTTCGAAGCTCGCCAAAAGGGTACACCTCAAGATATTGAAGATAGTTACATTACTTTGTGTAGTGTAACATTTCACTTGGTGTAGGCCCTAGTGAAGGGTAGTTTCGAGACCCTTCGTGGTTGGGGACAGTGTGGCACTGTTCCACATCACTGTACCTCGGCTCTTGGGGTTTGTAGGAGCTGGGAATCATTCCCAACTCGTAACTCTTCCTATCTTGTGTTCTAAGACTATAGTGGCTGCCATAGTACCGTTCGTTCAAACCGACGCTGTGTCGTCAATTCTTTATCAAATCCTGCAATCTAAATTGCTAATTGTAGACGACGTGAAGACACTCCAGATCCAAATTGAATCAAGTCATTTGCAGCTGTGAGCAGAACGCTATCAACGTTTGAAGCCGCTGTGCAGAAATCCGTCTGTGCTCTCTATCTTTCGTTTTAGGCACATTCAAGCCTATTGTGACTATAACAAGTGGTATCAGAGCCTTGGAGCAGTTTCGACAATGTCTGGACCTGAGGAAAGGGGTGGCAGAGGTGCTGGTGGCAGTGGAGAAGCTCAAGCTCAAGGCCAACCCCGTGATTCAGCCATGGCGCCCATGCAACCAAGTCTTGGCCCACCTAGGGATGAGCCTAGGGTGTTTGGGCTTGACAAGTTCAACGGTGACAACTTTGCTGAATGGTCCTTCAAGATGGAGAACATCTTTGACCACTATGACCTGCTGGAGGTGATGGAAGGAACGGAGAAGCGCCCCGAGAACGACCCGGAGAAGAGCCCGTGGGTGCGGAAGAGCGCACAAGGCTATCTCTTACTTGGGCAAGCGTTGGGGAGCAGTCAGATCCGTCACATCAAGCCATTCCAGCGTGAACCAGAGAAAGGACCAAAGGCATGGGCTGCTCTCAAGGGTGTACATGCTCCTGCAACAGCGGCGGTAGCGGTGGTGTTGGAACGGCAAATGGCGGCACTACGAATTGAAGAAGACGAAGCGGTTGAAGAAGGGGTGCAGAAATTCTTCGACTTGTTGACGCGGCTTGAGGGAGCTGATTTGAACTACAGTGAGCTCCAAAAGAAGACCAAGTTGCTGGCCTTACTCCCAGAGTCATGGTCCTCGCTCATCATCAACCTTAATCGCGACTTGCCCCGCCTCTCGCTTGAAGACGTGAAGCGAGCTATCCTTCAAGAGGATTTCCGCCGCCGTGAGTTGGCGAGTGCGGATGGCGCTGGGGCAGCGAGCATCGGCCGTGGATATGGTCGAGGAAGAGGCAGAGGACGAGGGGGAGGAAGGTTTGGTGGCAGCAACTTCGGCGGAGGCCGCAGGAGTGGCGGTTACGGCAGCGACGACAAGAGCTACGGACGCGGTCGCGGCCGATTCGACGGCGAGTGTCACTATTGCCACAAGAGCGGACACATGTGGCGCGACTGCTACAAACTCCCTGATGGTTGGACCCCTGCTCAAGACCAAGAGGGTAGAGGAGCAGAAGGAGGGAGAGGACGAGGCCGTGGAGGCCGTGGCGGTCGCGGTGGCGGAGCTGCAAACATGAAGAGCGGAGACAACGACAAGGACCCGAGCGACGATCGATACCCGGGTCTATTCTACTTCGTGTCGACGCAAGTACCGGCTGGTCCAGAGAAGGATGAAGGCTTTGAGGAGCCAGCAGCTGTGGGGAAGGTGACCCTACACCCCGTGGACTATTGGGTGATTGATAGTGGCGCTACCTATAGCATGACACCTCGCCCGGACTTGCTCACCGAACTCGAGCCGTCACCGGTGAAGCATGTCACATCAGCTTTGGGGCAGCGAGCAGAGGTGAAAGGCATGGGCAAGGCCATGTTCAAGGGTGCTGATGGGAAGATGGTGGGCCTCAAGAACGTGCTTTGGGTGCCCAGCCTTGCTGCAAACCTGATTTCCGTGCGGCGGTTGGCAAAGGCCGGCATGGACACGAACTCGAAGGGAGCCAAGACCTACACCGCAAGGCTTGGCGATCGAATTCTTTGGGACCTTCATGAGGACAGGGATGTCTACAACGAGATGTGGCAGATCCCAGTGGTCCCTATGCCTAAGGAGAGGCAAGTGGCAGCAAGCATCAGCACCAAGGATGGAGCGGTCGGTAGCGACGATGGCGCGAACGGTCGCGCTAAGGAGAATGAGCTCAAGAAGAGCAAACCTGGAGGGACCAGCAAGTTCAGTGAACCTAAGGAGAGTGGTGCAGCAACCAAGGAGCAGCAAAAGGGTGAGGAGAACCCAGAGGCAGCAGCGGAGGAGGACTACGGAGAGAGTATGTGGGGCGCTATTGCGAGCGCGGCATTCTCCAATCCAACTTCGGCTACGGGGGAGTGTGATTGGCTCACCTTGCATCGGCGCATGGGGCATGTGGCCCTGCCCATCTTGCAGCAGCTAGTGAAGAATGAGATGGTTGCTGGCATACGTGTGAAGGGGGAGCCCGATGAGGTGCTTGGCTGCCCGACGTGCATTCAAGCCAAGTTCACCCGGTTTCCGTTCCCTAGTTCGGAGGCAACGGCAAAGGCACCGCTTGATGAGGTGGTGATGGACGTGGTGGGCCCCCTGAAGCTTGGAGCTGCTGGAGCTGAGTATTTTCTCACCATTGTCGACGTCTACACCCGCATGACTTGGGTGTACGTGCTGGCCAAGAAGAGCGACGTGGCTGAAACGTTGAAGACGGATTGGTTCCCGATGGTGGAGCGGCAACAAGACCGTCTAGTCAAGTCAATCCGCACCGATCGAGCGGGAGAGTTCCTGAGCAAGGAGTTTGGGTTGTGGCTGAAGAAGAATGGTATTCGGCACTCCCTCATCATGCCATACTCCCCTGCAATGAACGGCATCGCCGAGCGAGCGAACCGCACAATCACGGAGGCGGCACGCGGGTTGCTCATTGAAGCCGGGCTACCCGACTATTTCTGGCCTGATGCGGTGCGGAGCGCGTGTGTGGCCAAGAACAGAGCCTTGACTCATGTGGGAGCAGACAAATGGGTGCCCTATGTGGAGTGGCTAGGAAGGAAGCCAAAGGTGGATATGCTTCGGGTGTTCGGGTGCATGTGCATGGCGCTCGTACCTAAGCATCTTCGGCACAACAAGCTTGGTGCCAAGGCGGTGTGGGCCGTGCACTTGGGCATGGCTCAAAACAGCAAGGGATGGCTTCTTTGGGACCCATTCACCAAGAAGTTCTTGGTGATCAGGGACTGCAAGTTCATGGAGAACTTCATGTACAAGGATTGGAAGGCGGAGAATGAGGCGAAGATAGGCGTGCGGTTTGGGGAGGTGAAGAGTTCCGGTTTGGAGCATGTGGAGCTGCCTTTGGAGCTGAGCAGCGGCAGCACAACCACAAGGCAATCCTCCCTTGTGAATGGGGGAGAGGAGGCCAATGATGCAGAGGAAGAAGAGGAGGAGGTGCAGCAAGTGAGCGAGCGTGCACCGTCACTCCCTTCCCGTACTACGAGTGCTCCACGGATTCGAGACACACCGCAGCAATGCCAAGGCCTTCAAGTCCCTGCAGCTGAGGAGGAAGGAAGGGGGAAGAGGAGAGTTCAACCCCCTAATAGGCTGACCTATGATGCGCCGGGAAAGCAGGGCAAGACAGCCCTGGCCGGAGCGGCAATGATGGTCGGAGACGACGAGGAGAGTGACTACGAGGAGTGTGCCTTCGCGTTCTTCTCTCCGGTGGAGATGCCGGGAGAACCAGCAACTCTCAAGGAGGCTTTGGAGAGTAGTGATGCTGAGGAGTGGAAGAAGGCCATGGAGAGTGAGCTGAAGAGCATTGAGGAGAATGACACGTTTGAATTGGT